TTATCTAGGTTTGTTTCCCTTATTTCTGTCTGCATTAAAGAAGACAACTGATGGGGTAACCAGGGTAGTGAACTTGGTGTCCAGGGTGAAAGTAAATGAGAAACAAAAATATCTCTCCAGTGAATTTTGTGGTGGGAAGGAGGAAATCTGACCCCATGCAACTCTGAAAACCCTTCCTACATTTTTGTGATTTTCTGTGATTAGCAAAAAAAAGACACTACTGTGTCCTACTTTTTTTTCTTGTCTTTTATATTTTTGACAAGTGGCTTCACTTAAAAAAAGTTGGTCTACACTAATTCTAAACTGATAATGATCACTGTTATCCAGCTGATATGATTATCAAGTTTTTTTTTTTCTTTGTGTTTTTTCTTCTGTCTAATGTTTGTAACTATCTTTTCTTAAGATGGGGTGGGGAAAGGATAAAGAGAATAGAGCACAAAAATCAGTCATGTTGTATTCAGATGCCCACCTGCTTGGTCATTTCCCCACCTATCCATCCACCCACTCACCCACCCACAAACCCATCTGATATTCATTGATCATCTACTATGAAGCAGGCATTATATTGGGCTCTGGATCTAAGAGGGAATAAGCTAGAATTCCTTGCCTGTAAAGGAGACCAAATAATAGACATTTACATTGAAAAAATGTTAATATAGGTCATTTCTGTCACAGAAGGATCTTGCCACCTGTTTGGGGGAATTTCAGGGAAAGTTTCCAGGATGAAGTACTATCTCAACTGATGCGTGACAGATGGAGTCAACTGGATGAATTCTGTGTGTTTGGGCTTCTGTGTGGGGATGAGTCGGAGTTTCTAGCAGAATAAACTCCACGTAGTCACATAAAATTAAAGCCTAGAGAACAAAGCTGAATGCATAACATATGTGAGGGTAGTTTCTGAAGTCCTCCCAAGTTCAGAACTCCCATAATTCAATAATAATTCTGATGGAGTTTGTACTTCCCTTTAGCCACCAATATAGCGCCACCCTGTGGCCACTCTTTAAAGAGAGTTTAGAGTTTCCTTCACCCAGCCAGCTTCGAAACGATAGTCATGGTAGAATTTTAACATTGGTTTTAGGTAATGTGAAAGCATATGAATGCTTTTATATTATATTATTTCAAAGCTACATAATTCACATTCACATGAAATAGGACCAAACACTGGAGAGTTTAGAGCACTAGCTCATGGCCTATTTGATGGAACTGGAAGTACTTCAACATGGATAGCATTACACCTGTGATTGAGGGGAGAAAAAGTGGTAGGAGAGGAAATGGAAAAGCATTCAGGGACTTGATTATCAGGGCTGTGAACCATCATAAGATGACATTGTGGGATCCTCTAAAGAATGTTAAGGATGCAGTGGTGAAGTCAGCACCAGGTTTTGTTAGTTTTAATAGCTGAGAAAGATGAAATTAGACTAAGGCTCTGTATCGCTTTCAGATACAGAAATGAAGTGGGACATTCCCCTTCATTTCTAATTAGATTTTGGTTGTAAACAATATAAGCTTTTGTGATTTCAAAGTACTTTTAAGATTTTTGTTTTATTTTGTTTGTTTTTGAAGGCCCATTAACTATCTTAGAAGATACCATAAGATACTTGGCCTAAGTAGCAAGAATTTTGGATAGAGGCTTCACCCAGACTTGGGATATAAAGCTGGAGAAGAGTTTGATTAGTGAATCATACTTGGAGGTCTTTAGTAAAAGAGGTGGGGAAAACATGACTTAGACAAAGTTAAATAAACTTTTTTACCATGGGACTTCTTAGAGCCTTAAAAAGTAGTAATGTGTGTTGTGAGCCTCTAAGATAAATTTAAGGCATGCAGCATGTCACAGACTTGTTTCACTGCTAAGGAATTTTTGTTCTGGAAATAGTTGTTATAGTCTGTCAAAGGGCTAGGTTTCAAGGAACATGCATCACTTATCTATTTCCACAATAATGCTGTGTAACAAGCATCTACAAAACCCCAGTGAATACAACAATAAAAACCTATTTAACTTACAAGTTTGGGGGTGTGGTTTAGCTGATCTTGATCTGGGTTTGGCTGATTTCAGTTGATCTCACTGGCAGGTCTGTGGTCAGAGCTGAGAGATGGGAAGATAGCTCTTCTGATCTTAGCTGGGTTCACTCACATGTCTGGGGGCTCAGCTGGCTGTTGGCTGGGGCAACTGGTCTCTGCTATATATGTCTCTCATTTTCAAGTGTGATAGATTATCATTTCTGCTGGCCATGACAAAGGAGCAAGAATGAGGTAAGCCCAATAGTACACGCACTTTAAAAGCATTTGCTTGTATCATGTTCGTTAATATTTCATTGGCCAAGGGAAGTCACATGGCCGGTTCCAGAGTTGTAGGGCAATACAAGGTCGTATGGCAGAGGGTGTAGACACAGGGAGGGAGAAAAATAGGGCTTGCTTTTTTATTTTTTTATTTTTATTTTTTTTTGCAGTTAGACTACCTTAGAACCCAACTTGAAAATTGCTGGGTGAGATCACAGTCAACTGAGCAAGAATGAGGTCAAACTTTTTACAGAGTGGCCACAGACTCTACTTTTAATTCTGATAAGCAATCTCTCAAAAAGATGTCTGGGAGATATTGAGTGAGAGAGAATTCATCTGGTTCCTCACAAGACTTTTATTGTCTTCCTGTAGAATTATTTCAGAGCTGAAAGGATTGTGGACATCTGCTAGTTCTAGTTATGTCATGTTGGAAATGAGTAAATAGAGGCTCAGAGAGGTTAGTTGGCCCATATAAATCCACACAGCTAGCTAGAAGTAAAACTAAGCCTTGAACTCAGATCCTATCTCAAGCCATTTGGACTTTAATTACTTCAAAGAAGCTTTGTTGAGGTGGGGACATGGAAAAGCCTGACATATATTCACAGTCTTTGTATGTGAACAAATCACATTCCTTCTGGAGAGACTATGTTAATAATTTTAAAAAAGGATGTTAAATGTCTTTAGAAGGGCAAAACATTGAGTGGTTGCTGAATTCTGTGACTGGAGATCCTTTTTTTTTTTTAAAGTGTATTTTATTGATTATGCTATTACAGTTGTCCCAGTTTTTTCCTCCCCTTTATTCCCCTCCACCCTGCACTGCCTCTCCCACCAGCGTTCCCCCCTCTTAGTTCATGTCCATGGTTGTACATATAAGTTCTTTGGCTTTTCCATTTCCTATGCTGTACTTAACCTCCTTCCTGTCTATTTTAGACTTGCCACTATGCTTCTTGTTCCCTGTACCTTGTCCCCCTTCTCCCCACACCCCCTCCCTGCTAATAACTCTCCATGTGATCTTCATTTCTGTGATTCTGTTCCTGTTCTAGTTGTTTTCTTAGTTTGTTTTTGTTTTTAGGTTCAGTTGTTGGTAGTTGTGAGTTTATTGTCATTTTACTGTGCATAGTTTTGATCTTTTTCTTAAATAAGTCCCTTTAACATTTCCTATAATAAAGGCTTGGTATGATGAACTCCTTTAACTTGACCTTATCTGGGAAGCACTTTCTCTGCCCTTCCGTTCCAAATGGTAGCTCTGCTGGACAGAGTAATCTTGGATATAGGGCCTTGGCTTTCATGACTTTGAATACTTCTTTCCAGTCCCTTCTTGCCTGTAATTTTTTTTTTTTTTGAGAAAGCAGCTGATAGTTTTATGGGAGTTCCTGTGTAGGTAACTGTCTCCTTTTTTCTTGCTGCTTTTAAGATTCTCTCCTTATCTTTAATTTTGGGTAATGTAATTATGATGTGCCTTGGTGTGTGCTTCCTTGGGTCCAATTTCTTTGGGACTCTCTGAGCTTCCTGGACTTCCCGGCAGTCTCTTCCCTTTGCCAAATTGGGAAAGTTCTCCTTCATTATTTTTTCAAGTAAGTTTTCAATTTCTCCCTCTTCCTCTTCTCCTTCTGGCACTCCTATGATTTGGATGGTGGAACGTTTAACATTGTCCTGGAGGTTCCTAAGCCTCTCCTCATGTTTTTGAATTCTTGTTTCTTCCTTCTGTTCTAGTTGAATGTTTATTTCTTCCTTCTGCTCCAGATCACTGATTTGAGTCCCAGTTTTCTTCCCTTCACTGTTGGTTCCCTGTATGTTTTTCTTTATGTCATTTTACATAACCTTCACTTTTTCCTCTATTTTGCAACCATGCTCAACCATTTCTGTGAGCATCCTGATTACCAGTGTTTTGAACTGTGCATCTAATAGGTTTGCTATCTTTTCATCTCCTAGTTGTATTTTTTCTAGAGTTTTGACCTCTTCTTTCATTTGGGCCATATTTCTTTGTCTCAGCACTCCTGCTACAGTATAAGAGGCGGAGCCTTAGGTATTTCCCCAGGCGGGGCAGTTGCTGTCTGTGGGGGAGGGGCCAGAGAGTGAACTATGCCACTTTCCTAGCTCTCGGCCAGCTTTCAGTTACTTTCCTGCTACCTACAAGCAAATTGGGCCTTTCTGGTGCTGATTCCCAGGTGGATGGGTTTATGTAAGTTCTGGAACCCTGTGGGTCTCGCCAGTGAACCCTCCTGTGAGGCTGGGAGTTTCTCCTGTCACTGCAACCCCCACAGATTTTTACAGCCAGATGTTTTTGAGGCTTTATTTTCCCGCACTGGAACCCTGGGTTGCATGGTCTATGTCACTCCCTAGTTGTTCCTACTCATTTATTTGCACATGAATGTGGGGCCACGCATCCTCTCTGCCCCAGCTCCCAGTGTCACCCTTCCTACCAGTCTCAATGACTGTTTCCTCTTTAACTCCTTGGTTGTCGTACTTCCATGCAGTTCAATTTTCTGGTAGTTCTTGTTGTTGTCTTTTTGTTTTTAAATTTGTTGTCCTTCTTTTGGTTGTGCAAGGAAGCAAAGTGTATCTCCCTACGCCTCCATCTTGGCCGGAAGTCTTTTTTTTTTTTTTTTTGAAGAAAAGTTGGGGGTGCAGTTGAAGCAGGAAGTGCCTTCAGTTGGGTAAGTCAAGTCATTTCACTTATCAGAGACTTTGTTATTGTATCTATGAACAGTAGAAAAGGAAAGCAAAATATGGAAGCCATCACGAATTTGCATGTCATCCTTGCAGAGGGGTCAGGCAAACCTTTGTGTCATTCCAGTTTTAGTATATGCGCTGCAGAAGCCAGCGCTGACTGGAGATTCCTGGTAGTACATTTTTGTGGTTTTTTTCTTTCATCCGTCCCTTCCCTCCCTACCTCCAAGAATTTCTGCTGCATCTGAGAAGTTAGCAAAAGACTTCTGAGAAGAGGGCAAGAATTTGTGTTATAGCTCCTACTTTGTCAAACAGAAGGTAAAATTGTGATGGTGGATCTGGACTTCCAGAATCATAGCTACATTAACACCATATCAGGAAATAACTTATGCTACATAAGTAAAATTTTGATTACGAAATTTTACTAAACTTTCAAATTCACTATTTTTATGATGGGAATATTTCTAGAACATACTATCTGTCTCCCTAATTTATTAAACAGAGAATAATTGAAACTTCTTAGCCTCATCCTTTTAGACATCAGTTTTTGAATCGAGCATTAATATAGCAGTGTGCCTTGTGAAGAACCACATAAGTGAAAGGCATTGTTACTGTTGTTATTGTTTGCTTAGGGACTGGTTGAGTATGTAGGACTACTTGCCATTAAACTAAATTTTGACAAATCTGTTTTTTAAATATTGTTTTTTAATTTTTGTAGTGTTTTCTATACTTCCTCATTGTCAGTTGAGCTCCTGTATCTTTATGGTGCTCAAACACAGACTTGTTCTTAGATCTATGTTACAGGGAACTACATTTCCCAGGCTTCCTTGCTCTTTGGTGCACTGCTTTCTTTGGTATTTTCAGGAGGAGCTGTGTCTCTTCCATTGCTTCTGCTCCCACCTAACTTCTCCTTTCTCTATAGCAGCTGGTGCTGTTGTTCTAGTCTTGTCCACATGGCCCGGGTTGGTCTCTTGCTCTGATAACGTCACTTCCATCCCTTATCCCGCCTGCTTAGGTAAGCTAGCTTTTCATGCTTGGTAATCTGTGGGCTGCCTCCCTGTTACCCCTGCAGCCTCTCCGCCATCCATCACTCTGTAACCAGTCCCTTGGTTTGAAAGATAGAGTTGCTTCTGTTTGCTGGTTGTCTTTGATAACAAATCTTTTCCTCCTTCTTACTCTTTTTTTTAGCAGTCTACTGTGAGTTCAACAGCCAGGTTACCCAGTTTATTTTATTGGACATAAAAATGCAAACTTGATTGAGCAGTAGTAGAGCAGAGTCATTAAGAGCTTGAGCTCTGGCTTCAGAATGCATTGGTCCCAGTCCCAGTCATTCCAATCATTGGCTATGGCTTTGGGCAAGTTTCTTTTTTTTCCCCCCATTTAATTATATTTTATTGATTATGCTATTACAGTTGTCCCAGTTTTTCCCCCATTGCTTCCTTCTAGCCAGCACTCCCACTCCCTCAGGCAATCCCCACACCATTATTCATGTCCATGGGTCATGTGTGTAAGTTCTTTGGCTACTCCATTTCCTATACTGTACTTTATAGTCCCATGCCTGTATTTGTACTTCTTTATCACCTCACCTCTTCACCCATTCTCTCACATCCCCCTTCCATCTGGCAACTATCAAAACACTCTATATGTCCATGATCTGTCTCTGTACTTCTTGTTTGCTTAGTTTGCTTTTTAAGCTTAATTGTTGATAGATTTGTGTTTTTTGCCATTTTGTTCATAGTTTTGATTTTCTTTTTCTTAAATAAGTCCCTGTAATATTTCATATAATAATGGTTTGGTCATGACGAACTCCTTATTTTTTTCTTGTCTTGGAACTCTTTATCTGCCCTTCAATTCTAAATGATATCTTTGCTGACTAGAGCAATTTTGGCTGTAGATCCCTGCTTTTCATGCCTTTGAATATTTCTTGCCAATCCCTTCTAGCCTACAAAATTTCTTTTAAGAAATCAGTTGACAGTCTTATGGGAACTCTCCTGTGGGTAACTATCTGTGTTTCCCTTGCTGCTTTTAAGAGTTTCTCCCTATCTTTAACTTTTGACATTTTAATTATGATGTGTCTTGGCATGGGTGTCTTTGTATCCATCTTGTTTGGGACTCTCTGTGCTTCCTGGACTTGCATCTCTATTTACTTCACCAAATTAGGGAAGTTTTCTTTCATTATTTTTTTCAGGTAGATTTATAATTTCTTGCTCTTTCTTTCTTCTGTATGGCACTCCTATGATGTGAATGTTGGAAAAGTTGAAGTTGTCCCAGAGGCTGCTTATACTATTCTCATTTTCTTTGTTGGGGGGGGGGGGGGGGATTCTTTTTTCTTCTTGTTGTTCTGATTGGGTGCTTTTTGCTTCTTTATATTCCAAATCACTGATTTGATTCTTGGCTTCATCCACTCTACTGTTGATTCCCTGTAAATTTTTCTTTATTTCAATTAGTGTATCTTTTTTTTCTGACTGGATATTTTTTTGTGCTGTTGAGTTCCTCACTAAGTTCCTTGAATATCCTGATAACCAGTTTTGAACTCTGCATCTGATAGATTCCTTATCTCCATTTTGTTTAGCTCTTTTTCTTGAGTTTTAACCTGTGCTTTCATTTGGGCTATGTTCCTTTATCTGCTCATTTTGGCAGCTTCTCTATGCTTGCTTCTATGTATTATGCAGAGCAGCTATGACTCCCTGTCTTGGTAGCATGGCCTGATACAGTAGGTGTCCTGTAGGATCCAGTGGCACTGCCTCCCCTGTCTTCTAAACTGGGTACTTGAGGTATGCCTTCCATGTGGGCTGAGTACACCCTCCTCTTGTAGTAGAGCCTTGATTACTTTTGGTAGGTCAATTGGAGGGATTTACCCAGGACAATCAGCTGCAAGGACTGGCTGTGACCACAGAGCACCAATGTCCCCTCTTCGTGGAGGATCAGCTGTGCAGGGGCAGGGTGGTGGCACTCTGATGTGGTCTGTAGCTGTCCACTTGGTTGGAGGGCTCTGGGGTTTCCTGAGTGTTGCAGGCCAAGGTCAGCCCCCACCTGTGTTCTGTCTGGGACCACCTTCCAGGATCCATAAAGCAATCTGAGATGGCTGCTACATGTGCTGGGCTTGGAGGTTCCCAGGCAAAACCAAGCTGTAAATCTAGGCTGGCTGCTGCTAGTGTCAAGCCTGGAGCCACTTAGCAAGAGGTACGTGGGCTGGAGGCTCACTGAGGCCATCCGTTGCTTGTTTGATAGGATTAAGGAAGTTGTGAAGCATGAGCCAAGATCGGCCATTCATATGGAACAGTCATGATTAACACTTTGGGTGGGCCTGTAAGTTGGGTGGGATAGAGTCTCAGGGTATCTCCAGGGTAGGGGAAACAGTGTCAGCCAGTTTGATGGAGTCTCTGATAAGGCTGGCTCTGTGGCTCCATGTGGGGAAGGCTCAGAAAAGGAACAGTGGCCTCTGTCTGTCTTTCTTTCTGGGATAAAACTGCCCCTCAGCTCCTGCCTTGATGCCAGACACTTCAGTTCCTCTCTGTATGCCACTGGTGCCTTCCAAGCTACTACCCTGGTGCTGGACCTTATATGGAGTGAGTCTGAGTAATTCCATGTGTGGTTACTTTAAGGGGAACTACATGGGATTTCAGAAGTTTCTTCCACTGACTCAATCCGTTAGCCAGAAGTTATGGGGACTTGTTTTCCTGGCACTGGAACCCTGGGTGGGGCTAGGCATGCTCTGTGCTGAGATACCCCTTCTGAATTTTTATCCACCACATATGGATATGAGGTCAGCCTGTTCACATCTCTGCTCCTCGTGGTTTCTTTAATTATGTAGCTGTCAGACTTCCATTCCACTCAATTTCTGATGCTTCTGAGTGATAGTTGTTCTGTGTTTCAGTTGTAATTTTGATGTGGTTGTGTGAGGAGGTGAGCTGTGTTTACCTATGCCACCGTCTTGACCGGAAGTCCTTTTGATCAAGTTTCTTAACTTCTCTGAGACTTTTTTTCATGTAAAAAGTGAATGTAATCATAGTACCTATACTTTCTTGTAAGATCAACACCAATGGAGGGGAAAGGAGGGGTTCAAGATTGGACAAGGGAGAAGTTGAGCTATAATTCAGTCTTAAACAGGAGCCTTCACCAACCCCAGGGGGAGTTCTAAAGCAGGTTGGGCCTTTAGTCACCAATTTTGACCATTCAGGGTAGCTGCCCCAGAGAGTGTGCTTGACCTTAGGAGAAGTAGTTTTCTTCAGCTGATGGCAGTTTTGTGCATTCCGCTTGCAGCACTTGCAAGATCAAGGGAGTAAGTACTTCAGCCCTGAAGTGGGATCTGGCCATTGTATCAGAGTCCACAACAGTTACCCGTGAGAATCAGGTCACCTGGTGCCTAGTTCTTAGTGGAAGCTAACAAAATTAGTTATCATTATTAATGGATTCAGTATAGATGTTCCAGAAAATGGGCTTTATTATGTCTAATTTAGCTATTCAGAGAGCTTTCCTTGATTTCCTGTTTATGACCCTGTCATAGAGAGTGGAGAAAAAGTAATGTTAGTTGTCTGTGGGTAAATAAGGTTCTGTTGCTTCTGCATATAGATTATTAAGCATGTCTGTACTTTTACATTAATGTACATGTAGTATTTAAATAAAGCTTACCCATAGGTCCTTATGTCATTATTCTCCATGGTATTCACGGTCTATTCACATCAAATTTGGTAAAAATCAATATAGCTTTCATCTGTGGAGTGCCTGTCATGTAGCCACAGTGCTAAGCATGCATTAGCTCATCGTTCTCAGGATGCCTCTCTAAGGTGCTGATATTCCTGTTTACAGTAAGGCCCTGAGGTTGGTGAGGCCCTGAGGTCAGTGAGAGTAAGTGATCTGCCCGGGGTCCTTCAGCCAAGAAGTGGCTGTTATGTTCTCCATCCGGGGCTGCAGCCCCAGACTCATGTGAGCCTACGCTTTTAACTACACAGCTTAACAATTTAAACAGCAGTAGGGGAAACCTTCTTCTCTGAAAATAACTCTAGCAAAGTGTAGGTGTTGTTTTGGTAGAAACATTGCAGCTGCTGCCATGAAAATCTTCTCCCAAATGGCTTTGTGAGAGCAAAGCTGTGCAGGCTCTGCTTGTGTTTATGATGTGAGCCTTATGGCTCAGCCACAACACAAATGATTTGTTTT